GTGTTGCAAACAAAATCCATATAGTTAAGGTTTTCTTTGAGAAAATAACAATCAGATTACAATTATCGTTAATTAATAGCGCTACGGAGAACAGGATTTCCCGTTTCAAGAAAGTTGTTATATAACAGAAAATTACGTAAGCTTTTGTTACTTTGTCGTCTCTTCGTTGTAATGAATATTACGATAGATGGTAAAAGTAATTTGAACTTATATCAATCTGCCTCTGTTAAAGAAGGCAATTTTATAAAATCATTAATAGAACGTCTTCTCTGGTTTAAAATGAGATTTTACGAAAATTGATTTCTGTATTCTCTTTTACCATGTTTTCATTCGTGAAATAAATTATTACTTTTCAACAGAAAAGTTTAAATATCTTTGTAAAAACGTAGCAGCTGACAGCGCAAAATTATTATTTATAAGCAAAAATCAACAGTCAAATTATAGAATTTGAAAATTGTTTTCAAATTGTGTTTTGTACAATTGAACTGAAATAGATCTTATTTATATATAAAATTTTTATTTAAAAATTATAGATATACAAAATTTTCTTTCTTTCATATAAAAACAATTTATAATACATGAATTTCATGAATACATGATATTTCAATTTTTGTAATATTAAAATACACATAGATAGAACTATAAAGTTATATACAGAGTGTTCAATTTTAATCTATAAACAAAAATTACTTGTTAAATGCATTTTATGTAAAAAATATTTCTGATTAAAATTTAATAGTTTTTAACAAAAAGGTATTAGATCACTCTGTAAAAAAGTGATTAGTTTACAAAATATACTTAAGTTTGATGATATTAAAATATAGATATCGATTTATATTGTAGAAATTATTATTTAAAGAAATATTGCACATCGAAGTAATATATTTTACAAAATTTAATCTTTAAATTATTGTGTTTATATTTTCAGGCTTTATAAAGAAATTGTATTATGGATGATATTATTAAGATTAATGTAAAAATTCTTTCTAAATTCTCAGATATTATTAGGACAAGCGCAAATAGAGTAAATAAAAATAGAGTAAATAAAAAGACATATTCTTCCTACATAATGGTATAATATTCAAATTCTTGTGCTTGTTAAATATATCTTATAACCATGTTTTTTGAATCCTTTTTCTATTTTTCTATTAGTAAAGAGTTACAGTTAAGATATTTCCCAATAAGAAAACTCGTGAAATATTGATGTTAACGAAAAATTATTACATTTATCAAGTAATAAATATATAGTATATCGAGCACACACTTTCAAATAGTTAATTTTTTTTATAGGGATATATGTAAAAACCTCGAAATCTGAAAAAGTTCGGAGTGTCAAAAATTCGAAATATTTTTTCCTTTTTTTTTTCGTAATTTGGAACTTTCGAAATCTAAGAAGAAAAAAAAATCAAGAATATATACAGCATATCAATAAATAAAGGAAAATATCTCGTCACCATAGACGTTATTTTTCGAAAGACTTTTCAGTGCATCCGACAGTATAATCGATAAAGAAAAAAGGTACCAAACTTGGATCAAGGAAGAATTCGAACGTTAGTATCTTTGGACAAAAATCTGGTGTGGACATTTTCCTATATTATGGTTCCATTTGTCCTTGATCGAATATGATCAATAAAGATTTATACAAAAACTTTATCGAAGCTTCAGATGTTAAAATAAATTTTCCTGTTACAAAATAGAGTTAACACTTTGAATTTCAGACATTTTATTTTCGTGTTTTGAAAATTCAGAAATTAGTGTTCGAATCTATCTCTACTTTTTAAATATTCTCTACCACATTTTATCAGAATTTTTGCTTTCCATCCAATATATTTTTTACTATTTGCGATACAAGTATGAATTTGTATTTAATAAAACTATTAAATAAAACAAAATAATTTTAAATTGATAGGGATTGGCAGCTGTGAAATAGCGTTATCTGACTCAACGATACCGTCAGTTTCACCTCACATTTTTACGGAACTACTAAAGGAGTATTTATGAACCTCTTTTTATAGCAGCTTAGAGACAATCTGAAGGTATCTATATATAAATCGTATACTGTAAGTACGGAGATGAGATAGTCAGCAGGACGCTATAAAGGTAAAAGGCGTATACAAAATGAGTCTCGTAACTGGGCTAGATAGCTACTCTATATCTGTTCTTATCCAACATAGGAAAAACTTATATCGAAAAATTTCGTATTGTTGGACAGACTAGATTATTGCAAAGTGCGGATTTCTTTTATGGATACATTGGTGTAGTTGCAATGTAAAATTACACTTGCTCTCTAATCTCTAATCTTTACTGTTACTGTTTACTGTTAGTACAATTCTTCGTATGATTCTGCATGAAAAAGTATTAAAGTACTATATCGAAAAACTTAATACTTTTCGTGACATTTAAATTTTGATTAACATTAACGATAAATCTACGGATGTTTCGCCATTGCATTTTAAACATTTTCTCACGCTTCTTACATTTTTTCGGTACATTCTTCGATTACCGAATTCTCACATTCAAAAATTCCTTTGAATTCTCTTTTAAAATTGTACTACGCGATGATAGAACTTGCAAAATAATAAAGAATTTTCTCAAGTAATCTATTGCTATTTTCAATAGAAACAAAGCTAGAAACGAGCCCAGTTACTCGACTTACCTGGATATTCAGTTTTATCTGTCTGACTGCACTTTCGATACTCCCGAAATCCCTACTTTTAAGCTACACTCTCTGCAATATATTGCGATACATATACCGACTCCTAGGTTATACGATGCATGTCGCAGTGTATATAAACTGGTATTTATGTATCAATATAGAACGCAACTTGCATCGATAAAAGAATCAATATACCTGGTTAGTGAGAAAGGCTCGGAACCGAAAATTCAGTCTCGATGACTGTCCAATAATTTAAATGAAACTGTAGTAGTAAATTCTAAATCTCCAAAATTATTTTCAGCAGCTGAAAAGTCCCTCCTTTCACACAAAATGCAAACATTATCGATATATCTCATTTTTCACTCTGGTGACGAATTTCATCCATCGAGTCTTAGAAAAAATAATTGTCCATGTGTAGATAATTTCTATAATTATTCCATTCGTTTGCTCGCAGTTCTTTTACTAATACAAAATTTTAAAAATTCGATTCTTTCAATACGCTATATATCCTTTTTTATCCTCCTTCAGCTAGTTTTAAAGATACGATTCAACGTTGATATCGGACAAAAATTATGTGGTTTCATGAAACCTAGGAGTTGATACGTGTACCGTAACATGTTGCAGACCGCTTGAAACTGATGGAGTTTCATGAAACTGGGTACCGAAGCATCGCAATATGTTTCGGTGTGTGTGGATCGCTTTAGAGTCTTTACAATGTAACTGGCGTAGTAGTACGATAAATTCTATACGTCATACTACTACGCCTTATTTTCTGTTAATGGTTAACAGTAATTCCTTGTATAATCCAATGCTTTGTTTCTCTCTTTATCGTTCTTTATCGTGCAATGATATGTAATTCAATTTATAGACAGGATATTTTTGATTAATAACGAAAATTCGGTTTCCACATTTTTATGCTTGTGCCAGAAAAAAATGGTCTTATTACACTAATTAGACCTATATTTCTGTTGCTATCTATGCATCATTTTCATCTATGCATAGCATGTATATAAGTATCATTTCACTCCATTCGCTTCAAAGAGACGGTTGTCGCGTCGCGTCGCGATCTAAACTCTCGTGTTTCAGGGACGGGTTGTACAGCCGTCTCGCGACTACGACACGTGTTGCCCGCCAAATGAATATTGGGCAACTGATTCAATTGCACGAGCAGAAAAACGTCGCCTGTACGACGGTCTACGTTCGAAACTCGTTGGAAAGACACGATGTCGTTGAGCGCTCGTTCGGAAGTCGTTGCAAAGAACCGATGTCCTTGCGTGCTCGATTGGAAGTGAAGTGTCCTGACCAAGGGCGTTCCCTTGGTCCGCGAATCCGTTACCTTGGAGTGAGGGAAGGTTCCCCCGAAAAACCACGATAGTGGAGGAAACCCTCTCCTCCAAGGTGGGGTACCTGGGGTTCACCCGCGCGCCGGTGACCCCATCGGCCGTTTGTTACCCCTAGCGAAGGCCTGAGGCTTCCAACGTGTGCGGACCACGTGGAGCCCTCAGGCCTATTGTCAGCCAAGTCTTAAGAGCCGTCGCCTAATTTCGTTAAATTAGGGATTTCCAGGATTCTCGTGTTCCGCGACACGAGAAGTCAAAAGAAAAAAGGTACAGCAGTCAAACATGCTGAAGGCATGGAGCGGGAAATTCCGATGCCGAATTGTTCGACCCTAAGACCTGGCTGTTGGAAGACCGTAACGGGTCTTCCTTGTTCCACGACGGAACAACGGTTATTTGTAACTTTTTAATTTTGTGGAGCATGGAAAATTGTTTTTGATAAATGTAATTACAGTAATTAAAATTTTATTCGAAAACGGGGAGACAAGGGTACCTAGTGATTTTTCTGGGATCTGTGAAAATCTTTAGTGTTGCAAAAAGAGTATTATTCGATTTTATATGTATTTAGGTATAATTCATATATCTAAATTCCAACACCTTTGGTTGTAAACTATACATATTTCTAAATTTCATATTTTTATACGTCTTTATATTATTTCCCTTTTATAAATTATTTTCCTGACAGCTTATGGAATACCGATTAATATTAATATTTTTATTTACATTATTGAACACTAATAACATCAATCACGAGTGCCTATATTTAAAATTAAAAATTTTTGTTCAATTTATTTACACATCGATTAAGACAAAAGAATATGCATTCTGTCAGGTCACACAATTTCGTTGAATAAAAGTTACCGTTAGACTTGGCTATACAACGTATATTATACACGTACACGAAATCTAGTTTAAAGAAAGTTGAAAATCATTCTTTGACGAAAATGTGGAAATAGTAAAGCGATGGTAAGATAACGAAGTGGTATAAGAAAGATGGAATTTCTTACCGATCATAAGAAGTGCGACGGCAATGTGATCGCGACCAGAAGCCCTGAGGGCCCCCAGCAAAGCACCAGCACCCGCGCACACCAGACCCACTACGCCGACACCCAGTATGGACCAACGCACAGGAGGGGAACCGAGGCCACAACACTGCTTCGGTACTGCGTCCCTGCAAGACAAGAACCAACCGTTGGAATGACCCACTGACACGTTCTCCTGGTAAGTTGGCAAGTCGCTCGACACGCTTGTCCTGTACTAGGCTCGACTTGCGCTCGACTTACGCTCGACTTACGCTCCACTACGGCCGTGATGCGGCCAACTATGGCCATCGTGTGATACACCGTCACGCCTCCTAGTCTGTCGAATCTTTCTTCCCTATTACGCATAACGTCTATTCATCGTAATTCTAACTAATGTAAACGTATGTACAATCGCTTACAATTATTTCATCCATGGGAAATAAACCACCGATGGAAGTAACGTCATCTTCGTAGTGCGAAGAAAGTTCAATTATATTTGTAGTATAATTTGTAGTATTGTTGTGTTCACAATAAATTTTAAACGATATCCCTGGATTAGCGTTCTAAATATTTATAGGGGTTTTTAATTTTCAATGTCTCTTCCAATATTTGTGATAATCGAAGGACAGAAACAGTTTATTTTTACTTTCACATCCTGCCATATTTTACGAATATTAGTTGTCGTTTAACGTTTCATGTCTACTCGTAAAAAGAGATCTAACGTTTAGATTGTTCCAAGGATATTGGATATTTAATAAAATGTTCCACGACTGGGAATAAGTTTACTTTGACATCTTTTGACGTCATCTTGAAGTCTCTTCAAGCAACTACCTCTCGTCGTACTGAAAGTAATTATGTAAAATAAAAAGAACGCTTCGAGTAAATGTAATTAAGGTTGTTAAAAGCTATCCGCATAATAAAAAATTAATAGGCTATTCCACTCTAAGAAAATGAGGGAGACTCAATTTTTTCCCCTTACACAGCTACCCTAGAAAAATTTTCTGCACCTCAAACGGCTAATCTTCCAGTCCCGGTTAATTTGAAACAAGATTGAAATCAGTGTCTAAAGTGATTTTGCAGAAGATGGTTCATAACATTTTATTTGACCTACTCCTTGTGGTATACATATAAGGATACTCAAACATTGTTTTTGAAAATTTGTGTACTGCAACATTGAAATTTACCTGTTGTATTATTCCTGATAATATTTTTAATAATAATACGATTCTTGTTTCTTCCTTAATTTTTTCTTCTTTTTTTATCATATTTCTTAAATATTTTAAAATTACTTCGTGATGTATATAAACATATTTAGTGATTTCAACAATATTTAAAAACAAATTGTTTAAGGACAAAGACAGCTTCTGAGCGAAAGAATAGATTATTCTAAACTTTACTGGAAAGTTCTGATTGACAATTACTCATCGATCTTACGTATAAGTAAGATTTGAAAGAAACATACGTTAATACTGTAATCGTCACATTCTCTAGATCATCCATAAAATTAGGATATATATATATACATATATCTTTACAGACTCCATAAATATAAATATAAAAATATAGATGCATGTACATGTGCACAAATATATAGAGAAATAGGTAAATGTAAACAAATTCATTACAACAAGTAAAAAAAGTAAATATCGTTGGCTAGTGTAAAACTAATTACATTAAGCTCGAATTAGAGTACGTGTAGCGAATATCAAATATGAAATTTAATAAATGCATGCAAATAAGGTTAATAGTACGTGATGTGATCTCGTGTCATTTTGGGATTACTGATAGAATCTGCCATGTTCGGGTTAGTTACAATTTCAATTACTTCCGTTCGCTTGTTGTCGATAGCATTAATTTGCATATCACCAGTATCATAGCGCAAATGAAGTATTTTATGATTTTTTTGTTTACATATAAGATATAGAGGATAATGGATGGTTGAAGATTTTAGAATTTTGGAAAAAGAATCGCCAACGATAAACGTTTAATTTTTTGAAAAGTGGCATCCTTACAGTCTCTTTTACCTAGGTTTAACCGATATAATTCAATTATATAAACTTTCAGCCAAATGATCGTAAAAGATTTCAATTCCATGCGAAAATTAATGGGCACTTGTAAAGTAATCGAATGCTACATTCAATTCTTAAGAAACACAGTACTTATCTACATTATAAACAACTCAAAAATCATAATAAGGACTATGAATTAAAATACTATACTTTATGAATTTAAGGCCGCACATCTCGCCTACATTTCTAACTCAAAACTTATCTTGTGACAATAGCGATGTAAGAAGAAAAGAAAAGAAAATCGGGACTCCAATAGAATCTTATTTTCTAGTCAACTTTAATTCCACACTGAAAAGTTGCAATAAATTTTGTTCGTTCAATTAAGAATTTTTAAATTGTTATGAAAGAAGCACAACACGATTTCCATATATGTAAAAAGCTATTGTATAAATAATGCAAACTACTTATTATCAACGAAATAAAAACTTGTGCTTCCGAAACTTCAATTTGCAGAAGATATGTTCCTGCGGGCGAAATATATGCAACAATTTAATATTACTCGAGTGATACAGGTTTCACAGGTCGTCTTCCGCAGAAAGTTAGAAGCGTCGTTTTTGTAAACAGCTTGAAAAAATTAATGTTTCAAAAATTGCAAATGACAGTGAAAGCAATAAATTTGGAGATTTAACTCCTCGCGCATCGCAAAAACCGGTTAATCGCGTCGTGAGAACCGAGTTCATTGATTATCATGTAAAAAGTCAAACCTGGTTTGGTAAGATAATTCTTGGACGAAAATAAGATATTTAGAGTGTGTTTGTAAAATCTATGCAATTTCCTGTTTTATGAAAAAACCTAGATAAACATTTAGAAATTAATATATGAATGTACTAAAAGTGCACTATTAAAAGAAATCCGTACAGTTAATACCATTTGTATTTATTTTAAGAAAATGTATTAAGTTATTGCATTTTATATGTAATACGAAGAAACAAAGCTATTTTCTTGTAGTTATAGTATAAATGTACATTGTAGTTTGATAAATTTAGTGTCATAGAAGTAACAGCATCGTACTCGATACTATAATGATGAACCATTTTAGTACCAACAGCGTTGGTATCATTGCGTGCAAATCACTATGTAGGTACTTATTCTTGGATACGAAACACTTTTCGAAGTTTCTTTGTAACCTTGAATAAATATTTTTACAATGCTGTCTTTAATCCTTACCAAACTACACTAGGCGTGGGAACTCTGATTCTTGATACAAAGCTGTTGTCAATAGGGTTATGAAAAAGACGACATTCTTTTAAAAAAGAAATTACAGAAGAAATTTATTACATCAAACTATGCGGTATGAGAAGTTGAAATTGAAGCAGCGACATATGTCTAGCTTGCGGTTTAAGTTATTCTAAGTATCTTTGACGCAGAAGCCACAAGCCAGAACTCATCTTGCTTTGCAATAACAAGACTGAAGCATCAGAATACGATAGGCATGTAAGTACCACTTTTTGTTGCGATGATTTATTTCATACAACTTCATTAGCATATTTGCAAGCTATACTCATATTTCAATATACATTCATCGAAAATAATTAATTACTTCGTTAACAAATGGTACGCCATTCTCTTGAAATGTAACAACATATAGTGTTATTGAAAGAACGATGTCGCATACACAATATTAATTTCCAAACAATCCTAGCAACTAATTTTGACGAAGTTAACTTATTTACGAACTTATTTGTAATTCGGTATATCGATAAAATCTAAATAAAAACGATATTCCGCATTTGGACATAATAAAATTTTATCTATTTTAAAAATATTTCAAAATTCACGTCATTTTACTACAATGCTCGTAATTATGTCGGTAACTAACGATCAATAATCTTTCAAACAAATCGCGACGCGTGAATAAATTAATATTTAAAGAGAGAATTCAGTGAATAACATAAATAGTCATATTTACAATATCGATTAAATGTATGTTATATTAAGTAAAATCAAAAGTTCGGAAGGGAATAAATTTGTATATATTTTGATTTGTACACATGAAGCATTTCTGCGGTATAATTATTTTCATAACATTAATTCTACGATAATTTACTTCAATTTCTATTTACGATACCTCGAATTGTTATTTTAAAACATATTTATTTTTATAAATCGAAAATTTAGGTATAAATTTGGAGTTTGAAACTTATATTGTAAAAAGGTTTCATAATTCTTGGCTCGATAACTGGAGGGATACAAATATTTTTCTGACGCACCTAATTCAAGGGATATTTTACGCTTCTTACTCTTGTCTTAATTACAGCTCGTTCCTTTTCAGACAAACTCCATGTATACTATCTTAGCATATCCTGGACACTTTTATTATTTTGACAAATATCTGCAATTGGGCTATGCGGAGATCTGTGATAAGCAGGCAAGTAATTTGCATAAACATGCACAATCATCGATCGCTCATCATCTAGGGAAATTCTATCACTGTTAATATTAAATCAATCGTAATCTATATAGATGCTTATTTAATATCATTTACGTATTTAATAATAACATGTTTAGTTAACAATAATATCCTATTTATGATATAACGTTATAATTAGAGAAGTGAAATTTTTGTATAGATTCCTAATTTAGTTCATATAATCCAATGGTATCTTAAATGGTAATTCTTGTTTACATATTTATAAAGCTGTGCATGTTAACTGAATTACGAGGAAACGATATAACGTGATTCTATCGTTAAGCGATCAAGTTGCAATGCTCGTTGATCGAGTTTTTCCAGTTTCTCCGTGTGTTATGTCTCATTAACATTCGTGCATTTTTTATTTGTTCCTTTTTTCGCGAGGGTGTGGCTTTTTAACATGTCGATAGAAGGAGAAGAAATGCACTTTCTATTCCTCTTAGTTCATTTGCGAGACTTAGCTGTGAAAAATACGTACAATTTGGATATTTATAATACTCGATAAATTTTAGCTATTTTAGGTTACTGTCTAAATTCATTATTTGAACCATGTAAATTCGACTGCTTGCAAGATTATAAACTATACGTCTTCTAAATTATTCTTACTCTGCTTTCGATGTTATTTCATTTTTAAAAATGATGTATGATTAATGCGCTGAAGTATGTATAC